AGAGTTCGTCAACCCGATGCATAGTACTCCATGTCCATGGAGCCACCACTCACCTGGTCTCTCATTGTTCAGGATGCGTCTCTCAACAGAAAGTAGCCGCCGGCTTCTTGGTGTGGAGGATCTGTGAGGCGGATCTGTGAGGGGACGGTGCTTGATCTGCTAGGGGATAGGGGAGGGGAGGAGCCAGCGTTGTCCTCGCTGCTTACCGACGGTGGTGACGATGTGAGGAAGGCGCGCTCGGGCTCGTGGTGAGGCTGCGCGTAGGCGCGAGGAGGACAAGGTGTGGTTCGCTTGACCGGCGAGAGGATAGAGAAGGTACAAGAAACGAGGGGATGTGCAGTCTCAAGGGTGGATGCGCCGGCCTGGAGCAGCGGAGTGGGACGACAAAGGCGGCGACCGCTGCTGCGGCGGCAGCGGTGGCGGCGAGGGTTAGGTCTGGCGGCGGAGGCGAGGGTTAGGTCTGGCAGCGGCGAGATGGGGTGGAGACGAGGGCTGGGGCTTCTGATTTGGGGATCGAGGGTTTCTATCTATTTCATTTTCTACGGGCCTTTTCCTTTGAGCCCACAGGTGGCGGGACGCGAAAACAAAGCGCGCCCAACAAAAATTGTTCACCGCGGGAAGGCCTTTTTAGCTGGGCGTTGGAGCGCGAAACACTAAATTGTTCCCTGTGGGCCAAGACTCACAGGAATATGGCCTTTCACAAACTGACAGGAATATATTTATCCTGTGAGTTCTACCCCAGCCCATAGGAGTATACATGGTATTCCTGTGATCCACCGCGGGCCCGACAGGAATATAGTCCGGCCCACAGAAATATTCACGTTTCTGGTAGTACGGTTACACACCTAATACCCCCTCCGTTCCTAAATATTTGTCTTTCTAGACATTCAAATGGATTATCACATACCGATGTATGTAGATATATTTTAGAATGTAGATTCTTTCATTTTGCTCGGTATGTAGTCACTTGTTAAAATATCTAGAAAGACAAATATTTAAGAACGGAGGAAGTAAATTAATCATTCACTGAGGAGGACGCTCCCTACAGTACTAGTACAACGTAGTACTACTACTATTTATAGTTCAGCTTCCATCTCCAGTACTAGTACGATAGTACTACTATTCCTATTTATAGTTCAGCTTCCACCTCCTCATCACCAACCACCCAGATGTGGACAAGTATCTATAACCAACCACCCAGATGTGGACAAGTATCTATAATAGTACATGGTCTAACACGTTATTGAAGAAATTTCACTCCGGACGAGACCCGAACAAATGATATTTCACAAGTCATGGCAGAAGAAAACGATATCCCCACGGCACCATTCTCAGAAGAGAAGGTGAGAGTTGCGGTGTTTCAAATGGAACATAACAAAGCTCCAGGCCTTGATGGTTTCGCCGCAAATTTCTATCAATTTTTTTTGGGAGATCATCAAGTCTGGCCTTCTGGAGTTGTTGAATTGTCTTCATGCCGACCGACTTAATTTTGAAGGCCGAACGGATTCAACAGTTCAGACCCATATGCCTCCTTAATGTCAGCTCCAAGATTTTCATCAAAGTGACGACGAATTGGTACGGTTCAACTCGGTAGCCGAGCATGTTGTCCAACCATCTCAAACGGCTTTAATGTAAGGATTGAATATACTCGATAGCGTAGTAATCCTACAGCAGACCATCCACGAGATGCACCGGAAAAAACATGAGTGCAGTAGTATTCAAAATTGGCTTTGAAAAAGCCTATGACAAGGTCAGATAGTCTTTCCTCCAACAGGCCCTAAGGATGAAAGGTTTCTCCGATAAATGACGCCAGTGGATCAAAAAAAAATTAACTGGAGGTAGCGCGCGTGTGGCCATTAAAGTCAATGATGATGCCGGCCATTACTTTCAGACAAAAAAGGACTACGACATGGTGACCCCATGTCCGCAATGTTATTTAACATTGTGGCTGACATTGTGACCCCATGCTCACCTGCTTGGTTGCGCACATGGCCAAATCCCGATTCAATATCTGGGAATACTGATTCATGATTGACGTCTCATCATTGCGAAGTGGAAGCATGTAGAGGAGCGGCTAGAGAAACGGTTGAGCAGCTAGAAAGGCAAGTTGCTCTCAGTTGCAGGACTACTGGTTTTGATAAACTCTGTCCTCACAATATGGTTCTCCATGCTTTATTTCTTCTAGCTCCCAAAAGGGTTCTTGCAAAGACTGGACTATTTTAGGTCGAGGTTCTTTTTTAAATGAGACGATGAAAAGAAATATATAGGCTGCCGAAATAGAGCATGGTTTGTAGGCCGAAAGATCAAGGTGGCCTTGGTATTCATGACCCGCGGGTCAAGAATGAGGCCCTACTTTGTAAATGGTTGTTCAAACTTCTTTCCAAGGATTGTCTTTGGCAAACCATGCTACGCAACAAGTACATAGACCAAAGGCGGTGTCTCATGTATGTTGAAAACCTGGAGACTCACACTTTTGGACCGGCCTAATGGCGGCAGAGAAACATCTCTTTCGCATTGGGTATTTCGAGATAAAGGACGGGTCAGAGATTAGTTTTTGGGAAGACATCTAGCTAGACAATGCTAGTCTCTGAGAACAATACCCAACCTTATACATCATTGCACGCGACAAGAATAATACTACTGCGCAGGTACTCAGCTCATCCCCGCCAAATATTTCGTTTAGGTGGGATTAGATTTGCACCCGACATATGTCATGGCATAATATCTTGTCCCGTCTGGATTCGATTAACCTGACACAAGGCCGAGATATATTTTGCTGAAACCTTACTACATCAGGGTCTTTCACAGTAGACTCTTTGTATCGTGCGCTCACGCATTCTATGGTACCGATGAGTAATAACAAAAAAAGGAAAGCAAAGATACCACTTAAGTTAAAATCTTCATGTGGTTTTGAGAAACCTTTCCATAAATTGAGCTTCTCCTGAAATTTGTAAGTTGTTTACATAATTAAAATTTTCACAGAAGAAAAGAACTAGTATGAATCATGTGTACATAAACAGTACTTGAATTGCAATTGCACAGTCCTAATGTAAAACTTACTTGACATTGTGCGCTGCTTCCTGCTGTCCCAGACAATTGCAATATTTGTTCTCCAGTCAGCAGACAACTATTTCAAAGAGTACAATCATTCAGTACAATCAAAATCTCTAGTCTAATCCAGTACCCCTAATTCCGTAGGGTTAGAGAAACAAAGCTATAATTAGAACAAGATTTGCAATGGAGGCAGAGGCACACCGCATTGGGGGTCTGATGCAGCGTACTTGTTCCTTCTTTCTCCACAGAATCAGCGACTTGCGGCGATCTGGTGTTGGTGGGCGAGTACGGTGTAGGTATGGGAATACGAACGAAGCCGAAGGGTCGAGGGCACGAAGCGTAGCGTTTACAAGGACGAAATCAAGGTCTTCGGGTTGTCCTAACCAAACATGGCGACCAACCCCCAACTTGAGTACATGCTTGGTGAGATTATGCGCCTCAACATTTGAGGTCTTAAACTCGTGTTTAAAAATAGAAGAAACAAAATACGACGACCACTCTATGATTTCATGTATCACAGCTCCAAAGCTTTGCCGAACTTCCACTTTTTATATAGCTTCAATAATGACTTTACTAGATGCCACCACCGTCCTATGCATGTACAGATCCGAGCCCAGGGCAAATCAATGCAAGCGCTACTTCAAAAAATCTAATGTCATCGTGTAAAGCTTGCCGAACTTCCACTTTTTATAAAGCTTCAATTCAATCTGAGGCCAGGGTAAATCAAATCAATGCAGATTTCCTATGAAATTCCTCCAAACAGAAGAGGCCTAAAACTTATAAACTACTAGAAGTAACTTGTTTAGACCTTTTTTTAAAATAGTACAATGGTAGATGCTTGCATAGACGCAGATCATTGAAATTACCACAAGCGGCTCACAATCGACGGGAATGTCACATCCCACTGAACAAAGATTGTCGGAAAGTCTGAAATTAATCTAGAAAAATGTGAGTATGAGTGCCAAATCTAATACTTGAACCCTGGTGGGCTTTTTGCACCACAATACGCTCAGTAAGTTTAACCATTTGAGATGCGCTCAGTTTTTTTCTTGTTTGCAAGAACACATAGATTCGCCACCAGTTACATGATGTCGGCGAGATTAGCTAGTGATGCGATGAGTGGCATCTTGAGGTTGTGAACTGTAGTGGAGTGGCAGCGACGAACAGCCACCACTGGACGTGGCCATTGTTGCAGTATGGGAGCGGAGCTAGGTCTTTGAGGTACTCCCTCCGTCCGGGTTTATTAGGCCTAAAGACAACTTCTCTTAGACCAAGACACATAGTTATTTGCTCACATTAATTCTTCCATTCCACTTCCAATGCACTCTCTCACATGCATGCAACTAATGAAAAAGCGCGCATGGAGTGTATTAATTTTCCAGCCATGGCACCAACAACGATGGCTTTTAATGCAACCAATGAAATGGTTGCATGCATGCACCTTTCCAAAGCGGGACCTTATAAAAGGGGACATGCTTGTGATGCTGAGAGGCCTAATAAACCCGGACGGAGGTAGTAAGACACAGAAGATTCAGCTTAGCGCGAGCAGCTCTGGAATCTAGCGAGCGCTCTACGCAGCCATAAGGAATGGGCAGTGTTTAGAAGCAGGAGCACATACTTGGAGTTTCCAAGAATGGACTACAGTGCTGGTGGTTTGGGGGTGGAGGTTGGGCCGGCCGGTGAGACCAAGTACATTGCCATTACATGAATATAAATTGCAACCGATGAGGTAATGACGCGGCTACTCCCAACTAAACATGTCCTCGATCCCTTCAATTTATGCCCACGGCCTCCCTATAAATACCATTGGCCTTCCATTTAAATCTCCACCACCTCCACACCCTCAAATGCACCAATCTGAATCTCCCCCAAGATTAGGTAGTCCTACAAGTGCATGCAGGCATAGAGAGCCACGCATAGTGCACAGCACCTAAGATCAGCTCGCCATGGTGGTGGCAGGAGCTACTATGGCCGTGCTTCAGAGAGCATGGACAGCCAGCACCGACTTGTTTCTGGGTTTGCTTCCAGTTCACATCCTAATGGTAGTGATCCTGGTATCTGGCATGGCCATGCTGTGGCGGGTTAGCCGGGCACGGGACGTGTACCTGGTGGACTACGGCTGCTTCCTGGGTGAGCCACGTTACAGGATCCCCTCGGCGATGGCCCTGGAGCACGCACGCCTCATGACCGACCTCATCGAGGAGGAGAGCGCTGACTTCATGGCTCGGCTGCATGAGCGCTCCGGGATCGGCGAGGAGACGAGCGTGCCCAATTCTTACCGCTATATGCCCCCCAAGCGCGGCGTGGAGGCTTCCCGGGAGGAAGCCGAGCTGGTCATCTTCTCCGCCGTCGACAAGGTGCTGGCAAGGACGACGGTGAATCCCGAGGACATCGACACACTCATCATCGCCTGTAGCTTCACCACGCTGACACCGGTGTTCGCCGACGTGGTCGTCAACAAGTACAAGCTCCGCGCGGACGTGCAGAGCGTGAACCTGTCCGGGATGGGGTGCAGCGGGGCGCTCATCTGCGTCGGCCTCGCCGAGAAACTCCTGCAGGCTGCACCACCAGGGAAGCACAAGCACGTGCTGATCATAGCCACCGAGATCCTGTCGTCGATGATGTACCACGGCACCAAGCGCGAGATGCTTGTGCCCAATGTGCTCTTCCGCATGGGCGCCGCCGCCATGATCATGACCAACTCACCGGAACGCGCGCGGTTCCGGCTCGGTCCGATCGTGCGCACGCTGACCGCTGCCCGGGACAGCGACTACCGATGCGCATTCCAGGAGGAGGACGACAAGGGGATCACGGGCATCAACCTCTCCAAGGAACTTCCCGTCGTTGCTGCGAACGCGCTCAAGAGTCACATTGTCACCTTCTGTCCCCGGGCCCTGCCTGCCTCGGAGCTTCTCCGGGTCGCCTTCTCCCTCGTCAAGCAGTACGTGTTCCCGCTCCCGGGCGCGCGTGGGCGTGCGGAGAAGGGCGCGCGGCCGGCCTTCAACAAGGTGTTCCAGCACCGGTTCGGGAACAAGGGCGGCGGGCGCAGGGTGCTCCAGGAGGTGCAGCATGGCCTCGGCCTCTCTGACCGTGACATGGAGGCGTCGCACATGACGCTGCACCGGTTCGGGAACATGGCCAGCAGCTCGTTGCTGTACGAGCTGGCCTACATCGAGGCCAAGGGCCGGATGACCGAGGGTGACCGGGTGTGCATGATCTCCTTCAGCCCCGGCATAGACTGCAGCAGCGTCGTATGGGAGTGCATCAACCCGGCGGCGGCAGATCCCAACGGACCCTGGGCCGCCTGTATCCACCGCTACCCTGTGCAGGTCAAGACGACCTAAGGCCAGGTTCGCTTCTTTTTAGAGCCTTGGCTTATGCATAATTAAGCTGCAGTGTGCAGTGAAAATAAGCTCATGAGAATAAAGCATCCACTTCTTTTCTGCTCCTATCTACTACCTTCGTCTGGAAATACTTGTCATCAAAATGAATAAAAAAGATGTATCTAGACGTATTTTAATTCTAGATACATCTATTTTTATCCATTTTGATGACGAGTATTTTTGGACGGAGGGAGTATTAGGTGTAAAGTCAGTAGTACTAATATCGGTGCACTGTAATTCTGTTCTCATTGAAATAAATTATATTTCCGAATTTCGTGAAATGTTACGATTTTCTTTTTTTGCGGAGATGAAATATTACAAGTTGAACCGATGGAAGATCATTGTCACACATACGAACGCCATAACGAACGTGAATTGCTCCTTACAGTTTAGCAGCCGTATGGAGGCAAATCAATCAAGAGGACAAGAATTCTGGTGTGGCTATACGTCAGTCAGCTGAAAGAAAGTTTGGGGTCAGTCGATTTTTCTCAACCGTCGGATGCGAAATCAACGGCCTGCACCTTACTTCAACCTCCAACCTTTGTTCCTCCTATCGCCAGCCTAACCGCCATCCCCCGCGGCCCGTGGCGCTCCTGCGACCGCCTTGCCACCCCGCTCTACCTTGAACCGCCCTCCACCGCGGGGCTTGTTGTCGCCCCCGGCAATCCCCTAGCCCCGCCTGCGGCCCGTGTCCAGTTTTTGGGGTTTCTATATTCATTTTCGCTTCTGCAAAAAAATAATATGAAAACAAATATGGTAGCATCAGTTCCGTCCGTTTCCGCTCCGATTTCATCCGTAGTGTCTTGAAACTTTTGTTTGTCGGGGTCAGCCAACAAAACTATATTATGGCGAGGTGCCTCGACTTAGGCATGTGAGTTTGAACTTCATGCAAATTGGAGATAACGGCAGAATTACTAGCTTCAGCTCGAGCAGGTAAGAAATGTAAAGTTGACTCACGATACCAGGTTTAGAGATTATAGTCTTATAAGAAATGAATTTAGATATTGAAACTTCATCAAGTTTACCTGACTTGTAAGGGTTATAAAGAATATTATCGTATATGAATTTATTGATAATTCTAATTGGGGGTCTCATATCCTGAATGATTTAATTATTACAAGTTTTACGGTGATTGGGCTTTTTTGGAGCCCTTCGTTTGTCTCAATCTAACGGCACACACATACGTAGTACTGGCTAGTACTCGGATGAAGTATTTCAAAGTACTAAAACTTGTGGGGATGGTACTAATGACAATGTGGGGACACCTTTTAATCTAGGAGCATTTTAGTCATTGGAAAAATGTGCACGTGCCGCCCCTCTCGTCCAATGCAAAACCGCCGCCATGGTCCTCTCCTCTTCCATTACGGAACTGCAGCCATCTCCTCCCTCTCTTGCATTCCAAATCCACCGCAGCCATCTCCTCCTTCTCGCCGCCGCAACTTTGCTCTTCTCC